AAGAAAGAAAGAAAGAAAGAAAGAAAGAAAGAAAGAAAGGTGTATGGATGATGGTAAAAGAGAAGTGAGAAGCATGAGAGTTTGTCAAGAATGGAACATGATGCCAAAAAGTTGGGGAATTGCTGACTTAGAACTTGTGCTGCAAGAAAATGTGGCAGTGTGGACTCCTCCTGTTCAGTGTTTCAGCTGGTCATCAATGCTATTTCCATTTCCTTCTCTCTGGCTTTCAGCTTTGTGTTTCCCAAGAGTTAGTCAGCAACTCTTGGCCATTTGGTATGCTTATTACTCATAGGGCTCCTTTTGGAAATTTTAAAAGAATGCCACTTTTTGTTTGTTTGTTTGTTTGTTTTGGAGGAGATGACTTCTGCAAATTCTGCAGTTTCCTCCTACCTGCAGATACCTCCCTCTTGTATGGTGATGTTGCTGTTTTGCTCCCATAAATAAGGTTGTAAAATAGAAGGAAAGATTCCTTGAGATTTGAAAAGATGTTGAGAGTAAATCAGGGGTTTTGATAGTACTAGGTAAACTGCAGAAAATTAACTCCCTCCGTTAAGGTGGAGAGTTCTCAAATGTGCTCCCATGTGCTCCCTTTTATACTGTTCTACCTTACTGCCTAATTTTGGTGACACATGGGCAAGCAAGAACAATCCCGTTTCGATTTACCCTTACCATATAGTAAAAATATCTGGAATATCATTTGAGTAAGCAAGCTCAGAAAGTGAGACAGGTCTAGAGACAGTTCTGTCCTTGTTATGACAGCTGTTTGAAACTGATGTCAATATTATATTGCAGAGTGTTTTAGCAATCTTTACTTCTACTGGTTCTAAAATATGTTTATGGTGTCACTGGAGACAGTTTGATTGTAGAAAGGAATCAATAATTACTCACAGCTCCTAAGTAAATAAATAGTATATGTTCATGTGTCTCTTAAAGTCAGTTTAGTTGAAAACTTTATACTGAGGATTAAAGAATGTTTGTGTAGTATCTTGGAAGTCTATAGTATCATAAGTGCCAGGTATTACAATTAAATCCTTTATGAAACAGACCCATTAAAAGCTCAGTCACTCGACTGAGCTTAGGCTTTTTAGAATTGCTTTTCTGCACTGCTTCTGGTCATGTTTTCTATATTTTGAGTTGTTCAACAGATATGTGCATTTATCACATTTCTATCTTGGGCTTCTTTCAAGGAGCTTAAGGAGCATAATGGCTTTAACCCATTCTGTTTCCTAAACAGACTAGTGAATTTGAAATAACTAAGCAAAATTACTTAATTGCAACTATTTGAAATCCTATTTAACTACTTAATTTAAATTCTGTTGCTTAGTTCAGTCAGTCACATTAGAGTAGGTCCATTGAAGAAGTGGGGATTTAGTGAGTCAGCTTCTCTGTGAGTCTCACTGATTCAAATAGGCCTATTCTAACTGCAATTTACTATGCTAAAGTGAGTTGCAACTAGAGCAGGCCTCTTTTGAATCAATTAGATTCATGGAGGTGTTGATTCACCAAATCCCCACTGACTCAATGGGCCTACTGTAGCATGACTAAACAACAGGATTTCAGCCAGGGTTGCTTTGCTAGTTTAATTTAATCACAGTTTGTTTGCAAGGCAAATTCAAACTGCTAATCTTTAAAGCCCTTAACGGCTAAAGGCCCTGGATAACTATAGGTTTAGACCTTTTCATGTGTCCAAAGTGACATTTGGTAAACTGGTTGTTTGTATCTGTATCTTGACTGAAAAAACAAAAACCCACTTTTTGTAACTGGAAAGAATTATGATGTAATTTTTTAAAAAATTAATAAAATATGCATGTGCTTTGATTTTAATAGAAGCATCCATTATTAGTTGATTAGTTCATACCAATCTTTTGTCTGCACTGCATTAGGATGGTTAATTTAAAGCATAATTGAATAGAATAATTATTATCAACATGGCGTGATTATGCCATGCCCAGATTCTTCCTTTTAAAAATTATTTGTCCTATTTTGAAAAATTCTAGTCTAATTTATGCTAAAATGGAGATTTCCTATTAATTTTATGAAATACAGCCTTTGGGTTGTTTTTTTCCCCTTACAGAAGCAATGCTGGATTTTCTGCAAGTTGTATTTAAGTAGGCTAGATATGGAACACATTTATTGTCTGTCCAGTGGTTCCCAAGCTTGGATCCCTAGATGTTTTTGGACTGAAACTCCCAGAAGCCTTCACCACTGGCCCTGCTGGCCAGGATTTCTTGGAGTTGTACTCAGGGAACATTTGGGGACCCAAGGTTGGGAATCACTAGTCCTTGCCATTAATTATAGTTAACATGACTATTGACAATATAGACTTGTCAGATTTTAACATATTGATAACATATAATTATCTTATATTGCAGTATAGTACTTATTCTTATTCAATATAACATAATTTCTGTTGATTCTGAAGTAACTTTTCTCTAGCTCTCCATATTTTGTTTTTATCCAAGTCCACAAAACTATTTTAAGTGTTAGATCTGCACAAATTAAAACTCACAATGAAGCGTTGCATATTAAAACATTCCTCTTTGAAAGACTAGAAACCAAATACTGAAGGAAGAAAATCTATTAGAAAACAATCTATTAGAAAACTTGAGATATAATATAAGTAGTGAAGGAAGGATTGATCAGGAACCACTACAAACCTAAAACAGAAATAACTGTGGTAAGACCTGCTATAAAACATTTGTAAGTCTCATAAAAGTCAAGAGGGTTGAATTCTTGATGTTGAAAGGAAAGCTAGATCAACTTACTATGTATGCATGCATGCTAATGGTAGGAACAAAGAGCACTATTGTGGAAAATTGATTTAAAAGGGGACAAAGGGATTGAAGATGATATAGTGGGGTACATCAGTAAGTTGATGAATAAATTGATGCAAGTTATTCAGAGACACCACAACTATTTCAGCTGTGGTTATTAAATGAACAAATTATAGCCCTTTGGCAAAATGTTATTCTCTCGTAGGCATGAAACTCACTGAAGAGGCCACTACAATATATATTCTAGAACTGATTACATCATTTCCTTCAATAAATATTTTAGTAAGCATTAAGAAACCAAAGACTGGGAGAATACTTATGCTGGTAATGTGGCTTTGATAGCAAAACTGGTACAGAAGAGACTGTAAACAAAGGAATATTTTGCCTTTTAATATTAATGTATGCTTATAAGTTATGACTTTTACTTCAACAGTAGAGAGGAAAAATGCCTTATAAATGTTCACAGACTTTGCCTTTAGGTTCTTATAGAAATACTGGGTGATCAAAGCAAACTCTACTTCATGTTTGTACTGAGTTCATTAGAATACTGATCCATTTGTATTGCGTCTTCATGCACCCACACTCTGCACCATTACTGAGGTTTCAAATACTTCAGCCTCACTTTAAGTCAACAAAACAATCAAGTGTTCTGCAGAGTATCTTAGCAATTAGACAGAAGCAGAAGACTGGGTCCTCAAAAATATGGCCCTGATCATCTACTGAGAGGCTGGATTTTCAAATATAACAACTAAAACCCAGTAACAGATGTTGAGTTGTAAAATCTTAGCAGCAGTTAGTCCTCAGTTAACAGTTCTGCGGTTCTAAGATGATGATGATGATTAACATGTTCCGAGCTTAGATGCTTGTAAAAAAACATTTGCAATCTGATTTGGCCATCTTATAGATGTTCTTCAAACATCTCCAGTTCACTTATTTATTTACACATAGACACACGTACAGAGATGGTTAAAGATAGATACAGATACCTGTAGCATGTGATCAAGATATGAATGAGCATGTAAGAGAATCTACTGTATATAGCCTCTCTTATTTAAAATTCTATAAATCAATTCAGTGGATTTTTTTAAAAGTGTGTTAATCTTCTTTCCATATGGGTGGCACAACAGAAATATAATTTTTCATTGTCAGGAACTTTATAACTTTGTAATCCTAAACTCTGTAGAAAGGCCTACTGCAGAGGATTGAAGCTGTTGCTACCAAAGAGTAGACTTTTAATGTACACATGTTTTAAGATTGTGATAAAATAGACAGATGATATCTATATGTGTATTAGGTTAAACTGTTCACACATTAATGTTTGCACACAAAGAAGAAAAATCAAACAGACTTATTTTATGCTTAAGTAAATTTAGCATGGATCTGCAGCATCTTCATTGCCATTTGGAGCTGTCCTGACAATTCAGTGTGATTTAGATCCTGACTTAGTGCAGAGTTGGGAATACTGAGATTCTTGGAGTAGAGGCAAAGTAAAAACTCCTGTAACAAAATACATTACCCATAACCTACTCTGCAATCCAATGTAATAATGAGTAAACTCAAATTAAACCTCAGACTAAACAAGTTTAGTACAGCAATATTAGCATAACAGGGTATTCTGCATTCTCACTGGGATTAACAGGTCAATTCAGAACATAATTTGCTTAGAGGAGAGAGAGCCTTATTGATATCAGTTGGGTTCTAGGGATATCCTTTCAGAGAATCGCTGACATAAATGTGCAACTACAGGCCATGATACTCAAAATAATTTCAATACAATGTGTCTACTTTTCTCCAAAAAGATTGGGAGGATGCTTTGAAGTCATGAGGTGCTTAGATGCCATTTAAATGGCTCGAAACAATTCAGCCTGGCATATTTAGCTATGCATTTTTTCCCTGAAACAACACAGACTACCCACCGTGTAGTGCAAAATACAGTTGAACTAACCGTAACTACAAATGAAACTGCAAATAATTTCCTAACCCCCCCCAAACAATGTTTCAAGAGGCTTTATTCCTATAAGACTCTAGCACAAAAGGTTCTGCACATATAAATGTTGCTAAATTATTTCCGACATGGGAAGATAGATCTTTGCTATAGACTCCAAACAATGTGGGCAGATGTTTCATTCAGTATAGCCAACCTCCCAAATTAGATTTTCCATTCAAAAACAAAGTGACATGACATCAACACGCTGTAAAGTATAAACAATTAAAATAAAACAGTACCTGATGTATGCTGACACTTATCCAACAGCCACCTTTTCTGCAACTGAATTTCAGTCTACCAGAGCTTCTGTATTAAATGCCTTCATCTGCTCTTCTTTTTTTAAAAGTATGTCAGCACAAGCCCGGGCAACCTTCAAGTCCAGGAAAATAAAATTAAGTACGCAGATCAAAGGCAAACCAGCAGTGAAACCAAATGCCTGTAATCTGATCAGTGATCTGTTGCCATACATCAAAGGCTGTGCTTTGGAGACCAGAGAAAGAGCGTTCTTTTCAGCAGGTAGCTATGTTCCATGCTCTGCCTTCTCTGCCCCCCCCATACATTTAATAAAAACTCACCCCTCTAGATCCACCTACACCCCCTTTTTTGTTGAGAAGTGGGGAGAATGCATGATTCCCGGAGCTCAACGGCTGGATCTGCAGACTTTTCTTTTTTAAGTTCTCAAGCTGTGCTCGTCCCAGATTGTGTGTTGGAAGCTTTCCCCAGTGCCAGCGGGTTCCGCTTTCTGCCTTTCATCTCGCTGAACTGATCCCATGACATCATTCAATGCTGTGGGACTGGTTGGAGAAGAGAGAGCCGAGTTGTAATAGGGCCTGTGGAGAAACACAGCTGAATGGCAACAAGAGTCTGTGTGGTTTTTAATTGAGTTAGTGGCGGTAAACAGAGCAGGAAAGTCCTCCGCAGTTTCTGCCCCTTGGAATTTTCATATGAAGTCACGAAAGAAAAGACTGGGCTTTTGAAAAAGCCCTGTGTAATAAAATTAGCCGATAAATCTTTGAGGAAGGGTATTGTGTAGCATTGCATTCTGACCAGAAGCAAAATTTCCCACACAGAGTCAAAGGATAAACTTGTAGGAAGATTTGCAACAGCTGCCAAGAATTTACCACTAAAACCACAGAAAGAATTATACTGTCTCCCTTCTCCACCCCCACCACCCGCCCCCAGAGCTCCACACTAAATTTCAGGCCTGAAGAGGCTTTAGAGGAAAATGTGCTTTATACTAAGTCCACAAAGGGTTAAGCAATTTGAAATTCATCTGAGTTGGTTCAAAATTAAAGAATAGTACTCCAGCATTATACATACTTACTCCACAGTACTCCAAGTAAATATCTGTGCAATCTTCCTGTTACTGAAGTGAACTGTAAGGCTTAGAGCAACCACCTGGGAACCATTGCATTGTTTTGCTTGTTGTTGCTACTCGTGTAAGGCTTATGCAATATTCTTAATTAATACTTCTGTGCGAACTGAGTCTGTGCCTTGATCCACCCGCCCTTTCTTGCTGATCTATGGTGAAGGAAACCAATCGTACTGGTAGATTTTCATTAATCTGTCCTGCAAAGTGCGATTTTTTGTACATGCACCATTCAAATGCCTCATCTTTCTTTGTGCACTCATATCATTTGTGGCATGAAATGCAATTTTCACACCAGATGAAAGGAGGCACAAGGAACCCTCTCATCAAGAGTGGCATACTGATGCAAAAGTACTAATTGGGAACTGAGTAAGCACAAGCATCAGAAACGTGGAGTGGAGGCCATCCGCCAGGAGCTCTCTCCTTTCTTGAACACAGTAGATTGAGCAGAGACGTCCAGCGCTCCGCCTTTCTGGATGAGACTTGATCTCTTTCAGCCTGTGACACCAGATATGGCGGACAAAACGCTTGACTACTGTTGTGCCACCACCTCCTCCCTTGACCCTTGCCTAGCCTGGCTAATCAAAGCAGCCAGGCCTACAACAACTGAATGGGCCACAACAATAATTAATGGGTCTCTCCAGGAGGCCAAGGTTCCCTGACATTGTCACTTAGGGGTGTACTCACTTTTGTTGCCAGCAGTTTAGACATTAATGGCTGTGTGTTGCAATATTTTGAGGGGACAGCACATTTACACTTATACAAGCTGTATACTCACTGCTTTACATTGTAGCCAAGTGTCATTTCTTCAATGTTGTAACAAGAAAAGATAAACTAAAATATTTATGAAATGTGAGGGGGTGTACAGTGGTGCCCCTCATAGCGACGTTAATCCGTTCCAGGATTAACGTCACTATCCAGAATGTCGCTAAACGGAAAGAAAAACCCCATAGGAACGCATTAAACTCCGTTTAATGCGTTCCTATGGGGGAAAAACTCACAGTTGAGCGAAGATCCTCCATAGCGCCGCCATTTTCGCCACCTCGGTAAGCGAGAGCAGCGCGCGAAAACGCTGCGGGCGGCCATTTTGTGCACCCGGCGGCCATTTTGGAACCGCTGATCAGCTGTTTAAAAAAACATTGCAGTGCGATTTTCGGCCATTTAGATTATCGCAATGCGATCACATTAGCAATCGCAAAAAACGCATCGCTATGCGGATTCGTCATTAAACAGTGCGCTCGTTATGCAAGGCACCACTGTAGTCACGTCTGTGATGTACTGTAAGATGGATACCATTAATAATAGGATTGGATCTTACATAAGGTCACCTTTAGAACATTGGTCTTAATCAAATTATTTTCTGTAAATAGACCAACTGAATCAATGAGACTTTGTTAATACTTGTGTGAGTTGCATTGATTTAATGGGTCTTCACGAGCTGGGACTAATAATTATTATTAGCCTTTTGTGCACAATTCTGATTCAAACACAATATTGAAGAGCTAAAAAGTACAGAAAGGGGCAACCAAATTTATTAAGGAGGTTACTTTGCAAGGAAAAGAAGTATTTGGGATATTTTAGGTTAGAAAAAAATTACTGGGGTATGATAGAATTTTATTTAATTTAAGGTAGTATAAGAAAGCGGATGCAGGGATATTTTTATCTTTTCCCCCATAATACTGCAGCTTGCAATTAACCAGTTCAATTGATCAGCAGAAGAAGTAGGGCAGGAATGAGAAACTATCTCACAGGAGTACTTGTGGAATTTGCTGCTACAAGATAGAATGATGTCCACAAATCCAGGTGGCTTGAAAAGGAATTACACACATGTGTGATACATCAATGGCTGTGTTTCAAAATACCTCCATGTAAGCTTCAGATCCAGAGGCAATATGTCAGAAATTGCCAGCTTCAGGAATCTTCATTATTGTTTTCAAATCCTGTTTTTGACCTTCTAGAGGCTTCCATTTGGTTGGTCAGTGTGGGAAGCAGGATGCTGGTCCAGTAGAGTTCTTCTTATGGTCTTATGAGATGATCTCTTTGCATAAAGGGTGGGATAAAATGGTATACTATTAAAATTCTGTACTAAATATCTCTCTTTCTCTATGTACTATCTCAGTTGCTGAGGTTAGCTACCTTTACAGTATATTTCCACCAATCTCTTGCTGTGTGGATTAGTTGTTCTCTGTTGAGGTCCAGCCAGTTTCCAATACATTATGGAAATGAAATGTAGAAATATGTGGATCAGAAATTGAAAATGTAGTGCTTTTTCTGATCTTGATATTTACAGGTTGCTATAATTAGGATTGTGATTTTGAAGGAGATCTCATAGGAAGAGGAAAGATAAGTAGGAAAGGTCACGAACCAAGCGAAAAGTATTTCCATCTCTATGGACAGTGTTGCGTTTCATAAAAACTGGCTTCATATCATCAGATGTATCTCCCCAGCCAGGAAGGTGTAAAGACTGCCTTTAAAAATAACATAAGATGGATAAGATGTTGAATATCCTGTATGAGCTGTTAGAAGAATCCAGAGTGCGCATTTGCTGCCATGGCTCCAGGGTACATATGAAACACACATTGCATTTACATAGGAATCTGCAAATCATTTGTCGGGAGTGGGGGGTGGGGTGGGGCTGCTGTTATTGAAAAGTTCTGTGTGAATCTGTTCTGTTTTCTTTATGGCTGTGCAGCGGTGTTTCTTATTTTGGCACCTGGCATATGTTAATGAAACAGCTGCACGAGTTCATCTCAGAAAATTTAGTAAATGATTCTGATAAAGTTTCATTTATTTACAGCATTCTTAACCCATCACATGAAATCTGTAACAAAGAAAAAAGTCCCTCCCTTCAGAATTATAATCTACTCTAGGAGAGATAATTTTCCAAAGTTAAAACGGGTGAGGTATCAACAGAAAAACAGAACCACCAAACACCAATTCCTCAATTTACAAACCTCTCAGAACGACCTCGAATGGAAACAATTGAAGGACAAGAGGAGTCAAATGTATGGAAGTTTGAACTACCAAAGCAACTACTGTAGTTATGGTCACTTTATCTTTTTTTCCCATATAAAAAAATGGGAATTTCTCATATGCAACAGGTGTCCGACTACATGAACAGAATACAGTATTGGAATAGAGAGGCCTTTCGTCTGACCCAGCGTGGCCCCTTACATTTTACATTTACATTTTACCTCTTACATTAACAGCTCTTCTTGTAATAAGGCTGATGGAGTGGCTTTGTTTTCACTCTCTTCCTATACAGCAGTGGTCCTCAATCTTGGGCCTCCAGATGTTCTTGGACTACAACTCCCAGAAGCCTTCACCACCACCTCTGCTGGCCAGGATTTCTGGGAGTTGAAGTCCAAGAACATCTGGAGGCCCAAGGTTGGGGACCACTGCTATACAGTACTTCTGCCTGATGGAATGGCTGCTGCTAGGTGACAGCTGAAGGTGGGAGGAGCTTGATGGTGGCCCTGCTTCCCCTTTTTCCCTCTACTGCATCCAGATGGCCATCTCACATCATCAAAGGCCATAAAAGACTGGATTATTTCCAGCCTCATGGTGGCCCGTCCTCAGTTTTTGTGTTTGTGTGAACTTTTATATGACTTCAAAAATTAGTTATTTTCCTATGAATTCTTTATGTGGGGGAGTGACTTTAATACAACTGTAGATAGAGGCTCATGAAATCTATATGCTTTTATTTTTTCCATATGTGTGTAAGTGAAAACAATGCGTATTTAGCCTCAATATGTTTTGTACTAAATTTAGGTTGTAAACAGGTTTATTTTTCAAACCGCTTGTACAGAAATGTACTAAATATCTCATTTATTTTGTTTTTAAAACTTGGAGCACATCCCAGGTAAGTACTTAGAGGATGCAACAACTTAAATGGGAGTGTTGAGAATCTTTTTAAATGTCTTCCAATGAAATCAGTGGAAGATAAATATGTTCCATTCTGGATGGAGTATTTCCTTGTTTGTATACACTTTGAATAGAGTTACTCATGTTTAGTTTAGCCTTACTTTGCCTATATCTGAAAACGATTCTATAAAGTTCACCGATTCTGAGATGGGATGCTTTCCTTGTGAGAAGTGCAAGAATGTGGTAGATCTAAACTGTGCACCATCATTTCAGAGGGAACTTGTCGAAGACAAAATTATTTTTACAATAAGCTTTGTGTCCTTGGATTTAAGGAAATGTCAAAGACTAAAGAACCTGAAGTGTTCTTGTTTTAGTCTAAAACTTTAAAAGGAAGGTGAAGATTATACTTTTTAAATTGTTGGTATTCATAATAGTGCTGTGCTTATTTTTAAAAAATGTGGTGCCCAGTAGTCTAGCCAGCCCAGCTTCTTCTTAAACTGTTTTCTGTCCAAATGACTTAGAAGTTATTAAGTAATGTTTGTCTTCGTGCCTGGGAACAACACAGTGTACACATGCAGCAAGTGCAAACTGGTTGCACTGTTGGAAGAGAAACTGGAGCAGCTAGTGGTCATGCTTAAGGCTATAAGAGAAGATGAAGAGTACACAGGCAGAACTCTAGAGCAGCAGCAGCAGCAGCCAAGAGAGGCACTGGAGGCAGAAAAACAAGAAGACAAAGCAGAGGAGGAGAATGCTAAGGAAGGAACAAACATAGTGGAGGAAGCACCATGGAGAAGAGTCACAGT